AGCGCCCTTTGCGTGGCCTTGCGAACCGCAGCTGAAAATGAGAGCAAAATGACCATTGGGGGCCGCCTTCGCTGCGCTCGGCAGCTTTTTAGCCTATCGACGCCGCCTTCGCTGCGCTCGGCAGCCAGTAGAACGCCCTCATTAGCGTGAGTTTTATTAGCCCTACCCTCGGACGGACTTACGGACAGACAACACACTCCACTAGAGAGGTAAGATTAAAGCTGCCATGTCTCTTTCGTTCACCAATGAGAATCAGGATCAAACTCGAGTACGGCAAAGAGCGCTATCATGCCCTTCTGGACAGTGGTTGTTCACGGAGTATTATCAGCCGCGAGTCTATGCAGACAGTGAAAGAACAAGGAGTACACTGGCAGCCTCAAGTGTATCGTTGATTTGATAAAAGGTAGTACCGCAACTGAAGGGTCCATTACTGATCGCTTCCGGATACCCCAGTTCCAGCGTGATTCCATGATTACCCAAACATTTTAAATTCTCCCCACTCTTCGGGATGATATGGTCATTGGGCGAGACCGTATACCGGCCTAAGCCTGGTTGTGGATTTTGGTGCTGGAACCATGAGCTGGAATGGCAGCGATATGTCTATTGACACTGATGACGGCATCGAGGGCTCACCCAGCGCGCGTGGACTAGTTGAAGTAACGAAGCAAGAAGTTGATGAGCGCAAATAGGAGAAGAATTAGACATCAATTCCGCAGACCTTTTGCCAGAGCATCTTGACACAGCACTAAAGCACTGCTATTTAAAATTACTTGAAGAAACCTACACCCTGTACAGTGGACGACTAGAAATAATTCGGCTCCACGACTACATTTTGCCTTCAAGTAACGACTATCTGCCCTCGCATTCTAAATCGTACTTTGAACCGCGCAGTTAAGAGGATGCAGCACGATAGGAAATGGAACGTCTACTAAGGCTTGACGGGGCGAACAGATCTACACGACGCTGAGTCTGCGGCATCAGCTTTTTTCCCTGCTAAAAGTTAATACTCGTGGCCTTTCGTCGCCTAAACAAGTATCTTCGTCGCTCTCCGTTTTCTGTGCAAAAGACGCATGAAATTCTCCTGCGGCTCGGAGAAGGCACAGTGCATTTGCACTCTCGATGCAAACTGTGGCAGCATTCTGCCCTCCGTTCGGCTAATTCCAATTTAATTAATTGTCGATGTTTTTTTTACTGCACCGGACGAATACCAGGCGTGTATGTGCGTATTCTGTAAGATTTACCGTTATGATTTTCTACCTGTGTGGCATTCTCATTTCTTCAAGTACGAGACCGACCATTTGTAGCACCTAGACATTGTCATTATGCGTATGTGCAAGTTTGACGTGACCCCAACGCGAATAAATCTCCGCGATTCTGTGAATTATTTGGGGTTTACGCTGGCATCAGAAGGGATACGGCAAAAGCCAACAAAATCGAGGCGATACCGCAAATGGCCGAGCTTGTAAGGAAGAAAGAGCGTCGACGAATTCTAAGAATGATATCATACTATCGCGAAATGGTCCCGAATAACTCTCACGTCATGTTTTGCCTGATCGCGAAAAATGTGCCGCTTGTGTAGACGCTCGAAGTCGCAGCAGAGATTGTCAGCATGAAAGCAGCACTGACTCGCAAGGTGTGGCTAGTACTTCTTAGACTATTCGCGTACTTTTCACGTGTTTGTTGACGTAAGTGGTGGACCAATTTGGGGCCTGGTTGCTAAAACAAAAGGTGGACCATTGCGTGTTTCTCTCGATATCTAACCGGAAGTATTCTTTAACGGAGTAAGGACTGCTATCGGCTGTCGAAATATTGAAGGACTATTACACAATGCTTCTCGGCTTCCGTTGTCCACACCGATCATTGAAATATGTTGTACCCACAAGAGACTTCTTTACGGATAACCGATGGAAACTGTTGTTTGAGAAATACTGACTGTCTGTCAAGTACCCTATATTGGCGCAGATGCTTTCACACGGCTTTACCAAGCAAGCCACTGAAGACGAACTATTGCCAATTGAGGGAGAAGATGTTGCAGCTGCTGGACGCGTCGTGAAGCATTACCAACTGGAAGATGCAATCTGCAAGAATTCATTGGTCGGCTTAATGAAAACGAGACATATATTCGCTACGAACCGCTGTACGTGTGGAGTTGTGTTGTCAGAATAAAAGAATGTGTTTTGTTTTGGTACCAGAAGCGCTACGACAGAATATAGTCAAAATATATCACGACAAACGTTTTCACCCTGGTCCTGAGAAGCAGTACCAGTCAATGGCTACGTTTTGATGGCCAGGTATGGCGTCGGCTGTGCTGAAATATGTCAAATCGTGCATGGTGTGCAAGCGAGCGAAGTTTCATGGAGGACAGCAAAAGTATGGACGCATTCCAGCAGCTCCAGTATCAAACACTGACCGGTCGTTCGACGTTGTGCATGTGGATCTTGCTGGACCAGTATCTGGAAATTTCTTTTGCTTGACAGCAACTGAGCAACGTTTTCGCTAGCTTGAAGTGACAAAGCAAAAAAAAACATGGTGTAGGATAATGCGTCCTACAAATGTCCTAAACTGTCCTATTGATCCTTAAGTGTTTTTCATTAATTCGCAGCTCTGTCCTCAAAATGATATAATACTGTCGTTTATATTACGTCCTCAAACCTGTTGTGCGTAATATTATGTGTGCTACACCAAACTTTAGAAACACACCTTAGCCACCCAAACCAAAACAAGCTGCCGAGGACGACCATCTCACTCGAACTATGGAGAACGGAGAGTATTCGCTCTGTGCGAAGCGCACATGTACTGAAACGAGCACTATCTACTACAGTTGCAAGAAATTTCGACAAGGATGCAAAGCTTAAGTCATTGTGAGAGAGGGGGCTATAGTTGCCGACAAAAGCATGCGCACTTGCGCAGTGCGTCGGCCTGAGATGTTTACAGACGTGCGCCAGGAGGTGCGGCTGCAGCTCCAACACCGCAGCGTTCTAGACAGAGTGATGCCTCTCCCGGTTATCTCGCAGGAGGTGTACGACGGGTTGAGAGAGAGTTACATTGGAGACAAGACAGCGTTGACAATTATCCCGTGCTCTGCTGCCGTCAGCATTGTTAAGCACACGCACCAAGACAGCTCTGACGGCGACGTCTTTGAGACCATCGCCACGGAGCCTTTGTGCTGTGTCAGCGACGTGGAACGTCCAGGAAATGGTGCGGTACGAAGTTGATATCATGAACCGTACTAATAACCCATTGGAAAAGTACAACCGTGATTTTGCATCGCGGCTCGGTACTCATCCAAGCCTTCTTGCTTTTATTGAAGGAGCCAAGAAGGAGGCAGAACGCTACATTCGACTGATCGACGACATCAAGCACGGTCGCCAATCGGCTTCGCATCATGCACCACGGGTGAAACCGGCTGTTCCGACCAGCTATGCTTCTTTCGTCTAGAAACTGTAGTCGACGCGTGCCAGATAATGCGAAATCGCAATACAGTGTCAGGCCTAAACACATTCATGTAGAGGATATCCCATTAATAGTATGTCCTATTAGGACAGTGGTGCTGTCCCGTTAAGCCAAATAGATTTCGACAGAATTGTCCTACAACTGTCTTATTAGCAAACATAAATTTCGACATGATTGTCCTAAAACTTGTCGTAACGTCCTAAACTTGTCACTTTTTTGTTTGTCTCCAAGTAATCTATAGTCCGGTTATAGAACAAATAGGACGGTTAAGGACATTTGTAGGACGCATTGTCTTCTACCGAAAAAATCAGCGCAACAGCATTGAGTTTTGAATGATTGTGTCTATGACCCTTGCCCGAAGTTTGCTGTTATAACGGGGCTGGAGCAAGCGTTACTGACTTACATTATTAATATGAGGAAGCTCGCAATACTAGACTTAAGTGCTTATATTAAGGTAAATTCAACTTTGAAGTAGATTAGGTCCAGGGCGGAAAACCTGGCCTCATTTGAACTACTCAAGTGTTTGTCAATTTCTAATAGGCTGAAAGTCCCCCTTTCGAGCCAATCAGATATACACAAGGCAGCACGCGCTATCCGCGTGCTTTGCACCTACTTTTGTATATCAAACTATGTAGCTCTATCTACGTAACTTAAATGTTCACCCTCTGAGCTGCGCTTACGGCGTCGTGAGCGCAAGCGCAGTATTCTTCGAGGTAGATGACCTGTCGGGACCATGGGGCCAACGTTGAAGCCACTCGGCAAGACGCAACCGAGCGAGTACAAGTCAAGTACCAGCAACGGCGCCATGAGTACTTGCAAAAATGCATGGTGTATTCGAGGTCGTAGTCGGTGTCGCTTGTGTCGCGACAGCTCCCACGAGTTGTGTTTCAAGATCGTCAGCATTTCAGGTGTCGCCTAGGCGTCTTAGTCGTTGAAGTCGTCTTTAAATCCGTTGCCACGCGGTCTACATCATTTCTGGGCGCGTACACGCGAGCGAGGGTACTTGCGGAGCTGATCGCGACATTTGGACTTCACACACCGACACCATTGCAAGCGAGGCTTTGAACTCGTTCTCCACGTCTCAAACATCATGTACCAGACGACTACCCGGCTCCCACGTATCCTCTGCTGGTGAATATTCCAGTCAGCGGACCCGGTAGTGCCCCTCGGTCACTCGTTCTCGACGGCCGCTCGACGCCGGCGCATACACAGACCGCGTGTCACGGTCGACGATGTGCTCGATTATCCAGCGCTAAGCGCTGAACGCGTCAATCATTGGCGGCGGATCATCAAGGTGGAAGGCCTGATTGCGTGGCTGAAGCGTCGCTTCAAGGTCGGACTATTGAAGAGTCGCCGATTTCGTCGGCTTCGAGGGCTGACGAGGAGCCTTAGCGCTACGGTGTGGTACTGCACTCGGAACAGGCGGCGAAGAATACACGTTGGCTGTATGCGTGGGCGAGTGGGGCACCGCGTGCCGCACTGGGTGATCAGGAAGTGAAGGGAGGCACTCGCGATGATGCGAGTGCGCTGGCGCTCTCGAAGGATCGATGGAGATACAGATGAGACAAAAGGCGAGTGCGCTCAGCATTCCACAGCTGAACACGTCACAGCGCGACCAGCGATGTCATGAGCCAAGCCGTCGTTTTATCGTGGCGTCGGACCACGAGGTTATGATTTCAGCTCCGGAATATCTGCGAGGCAGTATGGCTCGAGACGTCCGACGTAAAACGTTGGGTAAAGCCGCATTGCAAAGGGGATATCAATCATAAAGGCGTCGCCGTGAGCTTGTATAACCTTAAATGGGCCAATAAATCTCGACGTCATTCGCTAAAATTAGAGTGTTTCGGGTATTTGGTCACGTTTTTCGCGGCTCGAATATACGGCTTTCGGTTCAGAGGGTCGTAATAGAATATTCTCTTGGACGCCAGCTTCAAAACAATGCAGCACCAGTGTGCATTACTGAGGTTCAGTGGCAGCAGTAACGCACCAATATCCACCTCATTCGTGTACGAAATAATACGAGCAAAAATCGTACTGGACAGCATGACTTCTCCGTTGTCCCTTGCGCATGACGGCATTGCAGTCACCGTCTGATTTCTAGCAAAACGGCAAGCTGGGTAACGGACGTGAGTCTGTCGCACAAAGTTTGGACTAATGTGTCTGTCAGCCATGACGGAGGTATGGCTCGGTGCGGCATTGTGTGCATATAGTTTGGTGCATTCGCAAGTTCCTCTATGTTTGTGTGGGGGTACGCATTGACAACGTCTCGGCAACTTTCCTTGTCTCGTTGTGATACTCAGCACCGAGCGCAGGAACTTTTAGCCAACGCAACCTACCACTTTCATTCTGTGAGGGCCGCGAAGTAAGACGGTAATGTTATATTTTGTTGTATTATATTTTCTTACAACGCAAGTTATCCTACGGTTTCCTTATGTTAATTAATAGCTGGATCTTTGTCAGTTACTTCAACCTCGATCCCATCTAAGCGTTACGCGCTGGACGGGGTGGTGGTGTCAGTCGAGCGTTCAATTGCATCGGAGCTCCCCGAACATTTTTAGCTAATGCTCGACCTGGTTCCCCCTACGTCGCCGTGTTTGCCAGCTACGAGTTAGACGGTAAGCTGAACCCCCTAGTGGAATGCGCGAGCCACCGGCTCAACTTCGCTGTTCAAGGCAATCTGGCAGCGCATGGAGACAAACCCTGGCAGCTGTGCAAGCGCTAATGATCAAGTTGCGCACCAACCCAATCGGCCAAACTGCGGTATGTACAATCTCTGTAAAATGATGTGGTCAAAAGTAAAAGACATTTTTTACTAATTATAATTTTGTCCTCTATCCCTTTTTTTACTCAGGCTAAAAACCATTTGCGACCGGTAATTCGCCAAGAGACGAAGTGGGGTCGGCCTTTGCGATGGTCAAGCGTTACTTCGATTAATCGGCATTGATGACGATGACATCATGGAGCTGCTTCCAGCCCCTGCAGCAAACAAACGCCTCCGCGGTCTCTGGCAAGAATTGCGGGACATCGGATCAGTAGCTAAAGCACTGCAAGGCCCTGAGGCTAACCTGCTGGACGAACGAGAGTGGTTTGACGAGTCAAGCCACAGTACGCATGATTCATTGGTAAGTTTATTTGCTACTTTATTTTTTATCTATATCAAATATTTGGTACCTTTTTTACGGAAGGTCCACGAGCGATTATTGTACACAGCCCAGACTTAGAGTCTTGGTGTGTTCGTTTGCTACGAGGCAAGGCCGAACGTCTGACGTCGGCTGAAAAGGCGGCGCTGTTACCGTTTGCACCTACTACGTAATATGATACGCAGACGAAGGCCAAGAGTCCTTTGTGGAGCACCTCCGCTAGCGACGCTGACACCAGGAAGATCAAGCTGAGTATGAGCAGCTGAAGAGCATCCCGCCGACCTCTAATGTCGCAAACGCTTCTCCAGCGTCGCCCGGGTGACGTTTGACCATCAACGGCAAGGGCGATTGCCACGCACCCTTCAAAACATTTTGTTCCTTTGCAAGAACTGGGCCTACTGGGATGCAAGCACCGTAGACATTTTGCAGTAATTCGTAGGTGCTGTAATTGGTCGTTCTAATTAGCAATTTTTTCATTATGGCATTATTTATTGTGGCTGGCTCAGGAATGTCGTTATTTATTGCTACAGAAGCAGAAGCGACATCGGATAATTCATTGGTCATTCTTGCTTCCCATAAATGTAAAAGCTATATTCGGAGGCCCTGTCGCGGACGTATGTGTAACCGCCGAGCGTATCCTTCAGGAAGGGTGGTTAAAAGCTGTTGTGTTACCGTGTGAGGTGAGCTCGACGTTAATGTACCGCTACGTTCTCGTTGTACATGCCTACAGACATTCCGATTATAGCGTTGCAATAGTATTGCTACTTTTCAGAGGAAAAAAAATGCGAAAATAAACTATTGGTGTGAGCTACATACTTTTTATGTGAAATATATGTTTTTGCCATAACCATCACAGAACTTCAGTAGATTACTTTCAGAGGTTCTTAGTCAATATAGTCTTTCTTTATTTTTGCATTTGCTGTTAAAGAAATCACTTTCGGAAACACTGGAATTCAGAATTACAACAATAAAATTTGTTCAGACTTGTACTTGATTGCAATTAGGATTTTTCCAGGATCGGTAATATACGGGGAACCAATTCGGCGTATATTTTTAAAAACGACGAGCGATAGGGAGGTGACACCGGGGACGCATCAGGAAGCATTGGCGATGGCGCACCGCACGAACGCGGCCACCGAGAAGGATCGGCCTGGCGCCGATAGCATCGCCCGATGCACATGCAGCTCGCGGCAGTGTTCCCGCGAGGAACTCGCTCCACTAACCCGCGAAGACGTAAGAAAAGGGGTATTGCGTCTAGCGGGGCAGAGATAGGCCTTAAAGCTCAAAACTACCGGGGAGAGGACGTGAAAGAGGCTTAAGCAGGTGCTACACAGGACGGCAACTAGCTGGACACAAACTCAGCCAGCGAGGAGAGGTACGACGAGCAGGATGCGATCATAGAAATTGCCCAGATCGAAGCAGATGAAGACGGCGACAACATCGCTGGTGACCATGACGAAGCTGAAGACGTGGACGATGCGACCGACAAGCAGTGCGCTGCAGAAGAAGAAGACACTGTTGGTGGGCAGGACGCTCAGGAAGAAGCTGCTGATGCGCTGGACTCAGAAGAGGAAGCGGTCAGCGATCACGAACCAGAGGAAGGAGCTGTCAGCGATCACGAAACAGAGGAGGAAGTGGATGACGAGGTGGGGGGGGGGAGAATGTAAGAAAGAATTGGATGAAGAAAGTCGAGAACAGGTTGGGAATGGAGAAACGGATGGCGCTGTGTCCGTCCAGGATTCCGTCCAGGCTCTTGTAATCACCAGCAGATCGCGTGCTCCTGCAGATGCGATTTAAGAAGTTGAGGTTGCACAGACTACGTGGCACAACGATTGGCAGGCGTTGTAGAGGTACTTCACCGAATAATAGGACCAGACACTGCAAGTCATCTCCTTCGATGAGACAATGGGACGTGCGAAGCGCAATATACGTTTAAAAAAGACGAAGAAGGGGACTGACGACTCGGCTCAAGTTCCAGAGGGGCATGGTCCTTCTCAGCGCACATACATCTGTACGCACGGATGGTCTCAAAGGAAGGCGCGAGGATCGGGGAAGCGTCTTCACCAGCACATTCGAGAGACGGACTGTCCATTTTGGTTTATGAATCAGTGGCAATGGCGTAAAGGCGTTTGGTAGCCAGGCGTCAATCTCGGCAGATTCTACCACAACCACGAGGATTCAAGAGAGACGTATGCTACGTATTCATGTACTCGTGATGTCTCTTATTTTGTGGTTGGTGCGCGTGTGGAAGGGATGCTTGTGGTTGGAGCGGTACGCTCTAAAATTTACGACTTCTTGGTCGAGCACGACCAGAACGTAATTAAAGCAGGCGTTGACAATATGGTGCAAGTTTTCGCGTCGCCGGTGTCTCCTCTGGCCGACAAGATCCTACTGCTGTTGAGGCTGACGCTTTAGCTGCTGCTGAGGTTGGAGCTTTAGCAGCTGCTGACCCGATGAAATGTACGAGTATTGCTGAAACTAAAATCGGAGAGACTGGAGTTATTTATTTTTGCACTGCGATTATGCGTTGAACGATCAATCGCTTCGTGGAAGTTCTGCTCGTCGACTGCACGCACAAAACGAACAGGATGCTGTTTGATTTTCCAGGGCTCTCGCGTATTTATAACAGGATTAATTCAGGGTTATGCTCAATGAACAGCAGCACTTAACGTTCATGACTTTTAAAGACTTTGGAGGAGGTGTAGTCGTGCAGCATTCTATGCTGGAAGCAAATGGAGACTGGCACATGGACTGTGCAATCGATCATTTCAAAGGCGCACACTCAGACGGCTTGTAACTGTTGCGAGCGATCGCTGTGAACAAGGATATGAACGAAGCTCGTTAACTGCAGTCTAACTTTCAAGAGGTGCGTGTATCAATAAGTCAGTTTTATGTGATTAAATGCCTGAAAGAGAAGAGATCGATACCTGAATTTGGCAAATTATCTGGTAACGACGCGTCACAGATCGAAGCAGCAGTGCTCAAACCGGTTTATGCGGTAAGTAAAGATGAATACGACCCCACTCGTGATTCACTGCGTCGTCTGAGCGCATGGATTGGACTCTCTGGTTTTGTGATTTTTTTACACGTTACTGGGGCTCGTGTCAAGAGATGTGGGTAATGCATGTTGCATTTAAGGTCCAAGCTACCTCACTTCCGGAACCACACTAATATTCGATTGGATGTTTATCTCGGGAAGCTGAAAGATTCCATTTACAGCAGCATAAGTACGGTATGGCGCAATGTGATGAGACAGTAGTTGCGAGTGATCGACGCGCTGAAGGTGAGTACAAGTACAAGTTGATGCGTGTTAGTAAACTAGTGAACACGAACTACGATGGAGAGATGACGAACTCTTTCTCTTTACAACGCACTACGTGGCCGAACAAATTGAGAACCAGTATGCTGAAGCACTGAGGCGGGGAGCTACTAATACGATACTCAAGACGATGAACCTGACGTTGTTGTCCTGTGTGGAGCAACCAGATCCCACCGCTTGTACTTCAATGATTGGAGATGCTCTTGTGAATGTGTGGTGTCGATGTGCCTCGTCAGTCGTTATGCAATTGCTTATCGTAAGGATATTCGTATCTCCGGGCCGCGTGCTGTGTTGACGTGAGGTTGGTAACACATGCTAATTGCTCGGGATTCTAAGGGCATCTCCAGCGGTAAGTTTTAACGTTGAGTTTTATAGGGAAAAATAAGGGGCTTTAATTACATAAGACTTCGCATTTCACCACCTACTTGCAACGGCAATTTTTATCACGGGTCCTACGCGAGGCGTTTCGACCAATCAGTAGCGATCGATCGCTGAGAGAAGCATGGAAGGTCTCCCCGTTTGCCACGGCCTACTGGATGCTGCCACTGGAAGCGACTCTGACGACGAGTTCTACCGGCGCGCGTATCGGCTCCCAGCCCAGAAGAGAGCAAAGCACAAGCATGGAGGCTCCAGTGAGGGAAAGCGTGCGGACAGGGCGCGAGGTCGGGAGCAGTGGGGAGCGAAACTGGTAGCCGATTATTTGGCGGACAAACCCACCTACAATGCTGGTAAGTTCACAGCACTCTCGTGGAGCTCTCATCCGTCTGACAGGTTGTATAATCTATTGCAGATTAGTTTAGAAGGCGCTTCCGTATGCGCAAAAGTCTTTTTGAGACTATCGTTGCTGCCCTTGTTGCCGACGATAGCTGCAACTACTTCCAGCAGAAGCTGAATGCTACGGACTTGCCTTGTTTTCTACCAGAACAAAAAGTGACGTGTGCGCTACGAGTGCTAGCTTATGGAGCATGTGCAGACCAGTTAGATGAGCTGATTAGCATGGCCGAATCGACTGTGTTGGAGACAATGAAAATATTTTGCAGCAGCATCAGACGATTGTTTGGGCCGGAGTACTTACGTAAGCCGACACAGCACGACCTGG